TTAAATGAAGCCTTGAACATACAGGGATGTGCAAGTCCTTCCATGTCTCCAGGGACTTCATTCAAGGTCTTTAACGTGGACCACCACCTATTCTAGAGGGACCCAGGAATGGCAAATCCAGCCGCCAAAATAGAGTTCATTCCATTTTTAAAGGCCAGTCCTTGCTCAGTGAGTCTATAATCCAAAGCAGCTGCTGAGATTGCCAAAAACACCAGACGGCCGATCAGCAGACAGCCCGCCTATCTGCTCGTCTAAGTGAGAAATTAAATAGATACACCACAGAAAGACAAGTAAATAAATATCAACACTGCTGAAAAACAGCAATTTTTTTTTAAAAAAAGCACTAAGAAGATGAGATACTCTTTTTTAAAGTTTAAGGATCTACCTTTGTCTATATTCTCCTTTAATATTGCTCGGCCCATTGTCTTTTCTGCTGTCACGGGAAGCCAACCAGACAGATTTATAACGAGATGCGGGTCCTTTTCTATCCCACTGACAAATATGCAGCCCATCTGCCTCCCATCAATGATGAAGCACGTGGAGATGGAGCAATGAGATATTTTTAAACACTCCTTTAATTAATTCATTGCAAGGACTTGGCGCTGGGTGAGCGGTGGGGGTGGGGTTGGGCAGAGGGACTAGAGAGCAAGCTCACGGTCTGGTAAATAAAGAGATTTGCCGTAATCTGTAGCCTGAAACCCCTGCTATGAAGCATTCTGCTTGCCCCCAGCAAGCTGTTAAGGGCATGGAAGAGAAGCAGCAAGCAAGGTGGTGTGTGGTATTTGTCAGCTTTTTCAGACTTCGAGGACAAGTTCTGAAAAATGCAAAAAAAATGAAAATTTCATCTTGAGAGTGACTCTTCTGCCTACTATTGCCAGAAGATTTTAAATGATCAGTGTCCTATTTGATTTTAAGAAGTAGAGCAGGTGCTTGAGATGAAGAGGAGATTCAGTTTGTTCTGAGAGGCGAGCCAGTCCCAAGGGGGCAAAGAATCAGTGTGGAAAACAATTTAGTTTAGCTTCAAAAGGGGGAAAACCAGACATCTGGGCGTCATGTGATACAGCCGTGGAGAAGGGTGGGGAGGCGAGATTTTCCTTGAAATTAACCTGTGTTGAGCTTCAAGCTGTCAGTTTTGCAATCCTGGATCTGTATGATTTATGGCACACTGACCCAGAAATCTCGCACTTTGCTGTTAAACATTGCTTGTTTCTGCAGCCAGAGAACCGCCATGTCTTAAAGACCTTCCCTTGTGTGACAGTTCCCTTAAATCTGAAGCCAAAGGAGACAGCACCCAATTGTGTTGCACTGAAGAGGAAAAGAAGTGGCCATTGATACGGATGGGTAGAACTGTGTTTGGGTTTTTAACATCTCAGTTTTTCCACATCACCAGCTTCATTTGGATTCAGAAATTATTTCTTGAGAATTAAGCTTTCAATCACTCACAAGAGGCGATCTCAGTAAACATGAAATGGCTTTCTCATATGAGTTTCACTCATCTTTATTTTACCCAAGGAGGCTGATTTTTATATTCTTGAAAATGAGAAAATGAGAAATGAAAACCGCAGCGAAGCCTGAGACATGCAATATGCAAACCCCTCTGGACCCCAAAGCCCATGCCCTCTGCTCCCTTCCCAGTCAGTCTACTCCATGGGCTCTTCCTCCTACAACCTCAGCCTCACTCCCAAGGGGAGGCGGGAGAAGGTAATTGTTATGTTTTGCTTTTGTTTGCTTGAAATAATAAATCCAGTGGTCTTTCTCGCAGGGTTTTTCTGCTGTCAGCAGTTTTCTACTTCACTGGCTTTCTAAGTCAAATTGAAACTCAAGCCCTCGCACTTGCTTGGCTTTCGCTCTGACCCCTTGGCTCCTGGGAGCTGATCAGAAGACAGATCACCTTGGGTCCCTGACATACATGATGACCTCGCTGTCTCCCACCCCCAGCACGAATTTCTGAAATGCCTGCCTCTATGGCATCTGAGTGCTCCAATATAACTCAGTCTTTAATGAACACTACCAGTCTGCCCCCAAGTACTTATAATCTCTTTGCAATTTGGGTCAGGGACCAAAATCGTAATTCTAGCTACGTCTGAGGACTCAGAAAAAGAGAATGCTCAACTATCAAATTAGACCTTGCTTTGCGGGAAAATACCTCTCAGGGCCTGGAAACTACCAAAGGGTCCACTGTTGACTTTTATAGAAGAGGGATGCTAATAATCCCAATTCCAAATAATCAGAAACATCAAATAACCAGACCATGTTTGGATATGCTTTGCAGAGGCAATGACCAAGTGCAGAAGCTGATAATAAGAATATCCCAAAAAGCAATTTGCATGGTGTGTATGCCAAAGGTTTGAGAGAAAGCCAATAATCTCCTGAGCCAGACATACCTAAAACACTTTCCAGTGATAACTGCCATTTTCAGATGATAACCCCAAAGTTCTGCCAAGTCCTGGAATCTTCCTGGAAAGATGACATTACATTCTATATCATTTTATTCTTTAAGTCCATTCTCATTGGACCGCTGACTTCAGTTACTGGAAGAATTCAATGTGGTGATGTACACAAATGAGCTTTGAAAGTGAAGTGCTAAACAAACATAAGATGTCACTATTGTTTCTAATAATTCTTTCAAAATTGGTAATCAGCATATGTCACTGACTGTAACTATATCACCAAATAAATGCTAACCTTCAAATGGTCAGTTTGTCATACGATTCCATTCCCCAAACATTCTGGATCAAACAGAAATTGAAAATACATACATTGATGTGAATCTTAAAAAAATGACACAAATGAGCTTATTTACAAAACAGAAACAGACGCTCAGACACAGAGAACAAGCTTATGGTTACCAGAGGGGAAAGGCGGGGGAGGGTGGAGGGATAAATTGGGAGTTTGGAATTAATACAAACTAACTACTATCTATAAAATAGACAAAAAGGTCCTACTGTACAGCACAGGGAACTATATTCAATACCTTGTAATAACCTATAATGAAAAAGAATATGAAAAGGAATACATATATGTATAGCAACCACTATGTTGTACACCAGCAACTAACACAACATTGTAAACCGAGTATACTTCAATAAAAGATACATACATTGACAGTATGTGACTATATTGCTATTTTTGCTTCCTTCTCAGCAATGTTATGTTTCAAGGAAACAGCTTCAACCTTGTTAGAAGACACAGGCTAACAAAGGCAATCAGCCTGAGGAGTCTTAGTGACTTCCCTTTATAACGTATATTAACCAAAGGTATCTGAAGAGGCAAGAGAATCTCATAAACCAGATGAACAATTTACTAATCAAAGTCCTCGACTGGAGTCAGCTCCCAGACCACTCATGACTTTGTATCCCCGCCAGAGTACCTAGCATGTGAGATCTACCCAACAAGTACTCAGGAAAGGCATCTGAAAGAAAAGATGGAAGGAAGGAAGAGAAGAAGAAAGGAAAGACAAGTACTTCTCAGAATGTCACCTGCCCATCAGTTACTCTCTGAAATGTTAACAGGTCACAGCTCTGTGTTTGCTCCTCAGCCTTTAGATATTTTCTCAGTTCATTCACCTCCTAAATACAAATTCCTTTGACTAGCCTTTCCTTAACTATGCACAGTACACAATATGGCATTAATTGACTGTGAGTCTTTTAAAAATACTGATAATCACTTCTGTTCTCTATTTAGTGTCAAATCATTCGGCAGTTCTCATTTAGGACAAAGGTGAGATAAACACACTTAATTTGGGGATTTCTTTCGGGGTCTTAACCTCTCTCTATACTATCTGGCCATCAAAATGAGGATACAGGATTTGAAAGACTACCACCAACAACCTCTTTCACAGATGTTTTCCAATCTAGCCTTTACAAGCAACCACAGATCTAGAAGGGACCTGAAGGCAGCCAGAAATGCCTTTATGTCTGTTCTAATATGAGACTAATTAAACAGACAAAGACACTGAAGTTGAGACATACAAGCTCTTAATATTGAATTCTAGAGATCTGTGTTAGCACGGTGTACCACCCTCCTTGCACACAAGCATCTCTCTGAAACATCTTTCTGGAGAAGTAATAATCAAAACGGTCCACACTGCTGAACCGTTGGGACAAAAAGAGAGGAGTAATCTCATGCTACCACAAGATGCCAGCCCCTCTTTGGAAGGACTCCAGGCGACAGAAAAGGGATGAGTTCCTTCTCTTGGACACAGAGAGACAGTTTAGAAATATATTCCCTTTGTTAGAGGTTGAAGTCTAGAGACTTGACTTTGGAGCCTTTCTATACTCCTACCTCGAGGTTCATTCCCCCAAAACAAGCCTGCGGAGTTGGTAAAATTTATTAGAGAGACGCTCTGGAAAGTTCTAGCACGAAGGACTCTCCACCTTTGCTCAGAGGAATCTCTGATATTTCCACCTAACACAGATCCATTGATCTCTTGCAAGTGGCTAGTGCACTGTTGTGAATTAGCCAAAGGGCTGAGCTCCCCAACCAATCCTTTTATTCCTTCTGAGTCTTCACCAAGCTGGGAAAGTTTTCTGGGAGACACTGGTTCGGGGACTTGTTCTGGACCCCACCTTTGAGATGTGAGTATTCAAGAGATCCCTGCAGACCTATCTCCCTTTTGCTAGAGACTGGCTGCCCTTACTTATCACTGAGACCATTCTCCGTCCAACTGCAGTCTCAGGAGGCGGGAGGCAACTCCAGGACCGCGGGCAGAATCAGGAAGCCAGGGCTCCCGCCCACCTCGCCCCTCGCTAGAGTTTGGGGACTCCTGTCCCTGCCCAAAACCACTTATTTTCCCGTCTCTTCCCGGGAAGTACCCAAATCTCTTCCACTCTTCCTTAAAACTGGCCAGGGAGATTCCACCATCCAGGGACAAGGAGAGACCGAAGTCGGCCGGGCATCTACTCCGCGACTCTGCAAATCTGACATTCAAGGCCGCGCGCGCTGGTCCTCGCCCCGCCCCGGCCCCGGTCTCAGCTCATTCATTCCCGGCGGGTCCCCACCTTCCAGCCGGCGCCGCGCTCCGAGCGCTGCTTCCCCGGCAATGTCTGCCGCTCTCACTGCGCCCCATTCCTCGTTGTTTTTGAATCTCAAAAGTAAGCTCAAGAGAATTTTTCGTCACTCTTTTTCACAGCTCCACAGAACCTTTTTAATTAAAATAAAGCAATTCTCCGTCTGTCGCATCTTCAAAGGGTTAAGCAGCAAGCTTTACGAAAGAAAATCAATCTCCTCCCCACCATCCCACCCCCAGTTAAGCCGTCTCTCCGCCACCTTCCCCGGGGCGCGGGGCAGGCGTCTCTCTATTCCCATCCCGGATAGGGGGCCACCAGCCCGCCCCCCCCCCCCGCTTCCCTGCGAACACAGAGAAAAGCCCCCTCACCCTTCGGTGGATGCCATGGTCTGGGGAACGCCCCCTCCTCTTCGGCACAATCCGGCAGCGGCGGGCGAGGAGTGAGTGGGTGCCGAGGTGAGCGCGCGACTGCGGCCGAGAGCGGTATTTAAGGGGGAGCCTCTCCCCGCCCTTCCACCCCCCTCCTGGGTAAGCCCTTTAGCGCCTCAAC